TTCTTTTATGCTCAGCCCTGCTCATGTTATGCCACTGTTGGAGATTGTACGGACAGAAAAGACATCACCTCAAACAATCATTGACCTTATGGCTGTTGGTAAAGCAATAAAGAAAGTCCCTGTTGTGGTGGGGAACTGTACTGGCTTTGCTGTAAACAGGACCTTCTTTCCATATGTTCAGGGAGCACATTTTCTTGTTCATCTCGGAGTTGATGCTTTTAGGATTGATGCCCAGATTTCAGATTTTGGCCTTCCTATGGGTCCATTCCAGTAATTTTCTTTCATTCATATCCGCATCTCTCAATTTTTTTTACAAGAGGAGGGATTTGGGCTGTGGACATACTTTACTTGTGAGTATGTTAAATAAGTTTTGTATTAGAAATGAAAAAAATGTTTATTACCCTTTTTAAATGTTAAATATGTTCATTCCAAAGAAGAGTTTAAGCAAAATTTACGAGACTTAACTTGTTTCAACTTTTTGTGGGGAATATTTACATTTAACCCAAGGAGTAGTTTTTATTTTTGTAAAATAAGGCTCTTATTTATGAAAATAAGTTTTGCAGCATGACTCCTTTTTGTGGGACGTAGGGAGTAATTGATATATAGAAGCTTGAGTGGTCTCTGAAGTTATACAAATGGTTTGCTCATCCATTTTATTTGAATGATGATCAGTGTTTTGCTTGGTTGAACAAACTTCAATGAATTTTCTGTTTTGCAGGCTTCAGGATTTAACAGGGTATGGGGTAGCTGTTGCTGTAGGGAATCAATTTGGTGCTGCTTTTTCTGACCGTATATTTAAGTCTCCTTTGGTTGACCTCCTCATTAAAAGTGGTCGAAACGGTAACCTATGTACTTGTTTCTGCTGTGGTCTTTTACTTACAATTACTACTATGTCAATTTTGATACTTTCATTTATAGGTAAAAGTAATGGAAAAGGATACTACATTTATCAGAAGGGTATGAAACCAAAACCGGATCCATCTGTGCTTCCAGTTATAGAGGAGTCTAGAAAGCTAATTAATATTATGCCTGGAGGGAAGGTACCGCTTCTCCATCTGTTGCATTCTAAAATTTTTATCATTTTCATTTACCCCAGTGCTGCAAAGGCTCCCACCTACGGTGGGGTAAGGGGGGTCGGATGTACGCAGTCTTACCCCTGTACTAAAGCACAGAGGGATTGTTTCCGGATGACCCATAGTGAAAATCGCGTCCAAAATTGCATGGACTGACTGCTGCTCCATAACAAAGAAGCGCAGACAGTTTAGTGAGCCATTTTGCTTTATTCTATCATAATCTCAAGCCAAAAAATAATGAATCTTTGGCTCTATTGCAAATGATGGAAAAATTCTAAAATTTTTATAAGCTTTCTAAATTCCCTCAAAACAGCTACTAAATGATACATGCTCAGAAATTTAAAGAGTCATTTCACTAATAATCTCAGAAATTTACTTTCAGCCAATATCTGTGACCGACCAAGAAATAGTTGAGATGGTTCTCTTTCCCGTTGTGAACGAGGCATGCCGTGTTCTTGACGAAGGTATGGTTGTTCGGGCTTCTGATCTTGATGTTGCATCTATTCTTGGAATGAGCTTCCCCTCTTACAGGTTATTACAATCCCCTCTCTGCTTAAACATGCATAAAAAATAGTTAACCTATCTGATTGGCCGATGTAACCGGGTACATATCCTTTTTCAATCATTTTCTTTTTGTAGGGGAGGGATTGTTTTCTGGGCTGATACTGTTGGAGCTGGCCATATATATAAAAGCCTCAAGAAGTGGTCAGAGTTATATGGTGACTTCTTCAAGCCCTCAATTTTCTTGGAAGAAAGGGCACTCAAAGGCATTCCACTGGTAAGAATATTAAGTGCTCATCTGGTGCTGTATGTTTGGGAAAATGCCAAGGGGAAAAATGCTGAAGAAAGTTGTTTTTCTTGTGTTTTTTCTGTGGATGCTATTACATATACTTAGATTTCTGTCTTTATAAAATAGAAAAAAAAATGATTCTGAACAAGTATCCAAAATACATTATTGAGTAACCTGTCTTGTATTTTTGGAGTTCCAAACAAAACCTTGGACTATCCGTGGAGTTTGTTTTTTTTTAAACTAAGCCAAAATATCTTGAAATGCAGAGTGCTCCTGGTGTACCAACCTCTTCTTCCGCTTCAAGATCGCGTATGTAGACACCATTCCAACCATATGGATTGCACCATTGAACGTGGCAGAGAAATGCATACATAATTGGTGTTTGCCAACCTAATAAAATTATGTGTTGCGCTCCTTGGGGATAGAACACAACTTTTTTTGTTTGTTTTAGTTATATGTTAAATTAACAAATAAATAATGAAACCTGGTATATTTTATTTGGGAAAAAAATGTTCATCCAAATTATTTTGAGTTACTTCTCCTCGATTGTCATTTAAAAGTTGTGTAAATTTTTGTTGGGTGGATAAAAAGATCTGTGCACTCCGCTCGAGGCATTGCATATTTGCATCTCTTGTTGAAAGGCTGTTTGGATTTATAAAAGGGCCTCAGTGAATAAGGGCCAAGTCATATCCCCAACACACATGTAAATATCGATGGGTAAAATGCACCAAACACCTCCATGTTAAATCATACATGTTATCCCCTTGTGTTTTTGAAAATACACAAAACCCTTTATGTTTTTGAAAATACACAAAACCCTTTATGTTTTGTAGAATCTTGCACAAAATCCTTTAAAATGGTGCGTGTGATACACTTGCTATTTGGTGTGATTTATTATCAAATTTCAGCTTCTTGAGCTACGTAAATGTCAATTTTACCCTTTTGCATGAAATGGACAGATCTCATTTTTTGACACTCGCTATTTGGTGTCAATTATTTGTATACGTAAATGTATATATGTGCTACACTTTGAGGGTATAACTAGCTTTTAAAAGTTATAATGATATTATTAATCAAATATATTTGATTAACATTCAAATCGAATATCATGATATTCGTATTTGTATTTGATAACAATTCGAATCAAATTTAGTATTCTTATTTGTATTTGAAATTTTCGAATTAGAATCGTCTTATACGAATTCAAATCTCGAATAGAGAACAAATTATTTAAGCGATAGAAGTACTTCTAATGACATCTAAGTTGTTTAAAGTAATACACAAACACCCAAATATAAACCCTAAACTGTAACCGCAAGCAAAACTTCATAAATTAACTACAAATACAACCCAAATCAACAGAATTGGTAGCAAGCTGCTCTGAGTTTTACCTTCACATAGATTAAGTAACTTATGGAGTTGAAGAATGAGTACAAAATGGGGAAATTAAAAAGATTATTTGTTACCCTACCTCATCTCTGTTCTTATTCTTCCTGCTCACGGTGGCATTTTGGATGGTTGAATGGTGTGGGTGGGTTTCAATTAGGGGTGGATTCGGGCCGGGCATAGGCTCGGTCGGGCCGCCGGTTCGTATCACATGGGCCCGGGACCAGCCCAAGGGTTGGACGGGTCCGGTTCGGGCCGGGCCACCCGCCCGGGTCACGGGTCGGTTAAATTTTTTGTTTTTTTAATTTATATTGGGTGGGTTTTAATTTGTAATTAAAAGGGGTACAAGTGGAAATTTAGAAAATACAATCAACCATTAATTTTTTTTCTGCATACCGGGAGAGTGAGCATGTTTTATCAAAACTGAAGGGAGTTTCATTTTTTTTCAAAAAGACAAGGGGATTTGGTGCATGTTTACCCAAATATCGTTTAATGCATGTTTTATTACACCAGGGGATTTGGTGCAATTTACCCAAATATCGCTTATATTTTATGGCGGCCCCCAATGTGCCTATAACAGCAACCAGAAAGCGTCAACGGAGAGTCACGAATCGTTATAGGGAATGTATAGTAGTCATTATTGAATCTACTCGCATTTGAGGAGTCCGATACACCAAAGGTCGAAAAACTCAAATCTCTAAAGTAGCTATTGTGGGTGGAATTGGTAGAAGTTGCCAAACTTGTTAGAAGTTGCCAAACTTGTTTGTGCGTATAGACAACTTTGCCACTTTTTAGATAAATTGTTGGTATGCACAACAGGTAAAATAGGGAATACAAAAAAATGTACAAAAATATGTACAAATAGATTTTTTTCCATTTGTTAAATTATCAACAAAAAGAGCATTTTTTGCAACTTTATTATCTCCAAAATAGCAAACGTTGCTAAGGTTAGATAATTTAGTGTTTCACCAAAAAACTTACTCCATTTGTCCCTTAAAATTCTTCCCGACTTGACTTGGATCGTAGTTTAAGAAAGTGAGAATAAAATGAAAAATGTGTGCTTGTGAATTTGTGATTGAGTAAGAAAAGGTGAATTGGTGTTAGTTGCACAAAATACACTTTCTAAAAAGTGAAACGAGATTTTTTTTGAAACGTACGTCCCAAAAAGGTAAGTGGAAAGAATTTTAAGGGACCGAGGAAGTATCGATAATTATACGAATTAATAATTACTGTACAAATGAATAAGAGGTCTATCTTTACTTAACATTCAGATTTGTATATGCGGTACTTCGACGAGTTTTGCAATTGATATTGAAAATCATATTTACAAAGACCACGCTATTACATTACTATAGATCAGATGCACAATATAGATGTGACACTATTGATACTCGATTAGTATACGTTTGAGAAAACACGTCTTTTTTGGAACAATTAAAGTTGAAGCAATACATAATTCCTTACTTTTATTTAATAATTTTGTTTTGTTTAGTGGTACACCTAAAAAATTTAGAATATATTTTTGGAACAAAAGTGTAGATTGAAAAGTTTAGATTGAAAGGTTCATAAATACATATTTAGAAATTGCCCTAAATAGGACTAAAAACATTTGTATATTCTGAAATAAGACTATCATCATCATGTTTTGGCAGTACCAATCTTTAGACATGACAGTATTTTCCAAACTTGATACGAGGTATAATTTTGATGACAATCTTATTATTAAAAGTCAATCTTATTAAATTTGTAGTTAGAAAATTAATATTTTTTACAATGTTATTGTAGTACATTAAAAAATTAGATGTTTAAACAATAGCTATAGTGAATTCAAGTTTCTTTTTCTAATGAGGGCCTAAAGACACCACTTTCGTAATAAATAATAACCCAAAGGTTAAAAGTGGTATAACTTCACCAGATTCCTATAACTGAAGGACCCAAATACAATTTCCTCTTATTGAAATTTGTCTCTGCAATTTAAGTTTCAACTATGCATCTCTCAACCGTTTTCTCCAGGGGGGTGGACCTTTTGGTCTTGTGTTGCAGAAATGACCACTTCAGATGGGGAGGGGTCATCAAGCTTACCGTTGCAGTAGGTTTCCTTTTGGTTTCGTGCTTCCGCAGCATTGCCATTTCGGCAATCTGATTCTGAACCTCGTGCCATTGAAGAACACCGTGATTCTACATAAAAGAATGTGAAATTCTTGAGTGAAAAAGAAGTGAAAGTGATTGATTAAGGAATATGACCGAGTGAAAAAAATAAAATGACTCGACAGTCATGAGAGAAAGAGTGATTTTTTCACTAAATCATTAAGAAAAAGAAACTTGCCTTTTATTTCTCCCAATGCAATAAGCCTGTTGAGGCAATCACGAAATTTTGTCAAAACAATGGTTTCCTGCTTTTCATAGGCTTCCGTCATGCTTTGCCCACGACGCAACTGGGAAGACACCGTTTCCTGTTCATCACACATCAGTGCCAATGTTCCTGGAGACAATGGCCTTACTACAAAGACATTGGGATCATCTGCACTTTTCTTTTCAACATGGTTCTCGGTGGAACATTGATCAGGTAAAGCCCTTCCCACAGAAACTCTTACATTATCTAATGTGTCCTGAGGTGAGGCAACCATTGTTTCTCTAAGCTCTTCTGCTTGCTTCCCTCTTGCATTTTTTTCATCTGTAGGCAAATAAATTAGAAGAACAATATATGCAATGGAAAATCACCGCCAGAGATGACAAATTTCACAAGTCGGTTGGCCTCTTATTTTTTCTCTTGAAAAAAGGAAAATTCATTTTATACCACTGTTTATGTTTGTGCAGTGGGAACTGGCAAGTGTCAGCTCAACTATGTTACTACTGTTCATTTGACATTTTCATTTAATCATCATTATTACCCCAGTGCCGCAAAGGCTCCCACCTACGGTGGGCTATGGGGAGTCGGATGTACATAGTCTTACCCTTGACTAAAGCACAAAGAGACTGTTTACGGATGACCCATAGTGAAAATCGCATCGAAAATTGCATGGACTGACTGCTGCTTCATAACAAAGAAACACAGACAGTTTAGTGAGCCATTTTGCTTTATTCCATCGTATTCCCAAATCCTAAGCCAAAAAATAGTGAGTCTTTGGCTCCATAAACCGTCATTTTCATTTAACTGAACCAAGGAGTAGTATGGAATCTAGTAGAATTAATTTACATGCAAAATAAATGGATGTGTCTACCTGCAAGCATTTTAGCAGCTTCTCTTGAACAGGAGACCAAGAATGAACAAACTTCCTTCACATCCTCTGGTTGGATGATGTCTGCCAATAAGGACCTTCAGTAGTATGGAGTAATTGAAATAGTTAGTATGTGTTTGGATAACGCTTTTGGAATCACTAAGATTATGTTTCGAACTAGGAAAATGGTAGGAGATAAAAAACGTGCAACAGTAAATTGGTTTTCCATTGCATTTCCCAAGGTAAAAGATTTTGCATATTTTTAGTTTTCTAAGTCTTCATACAGCAGAATTATATCAAAAATAAGCTCTGACAACATCTAAAATTTATTTATTGAGTTTGACCCAATAATTTTATCCCCACCCCACAGTTCTTTTCAAACTTCTCATCTATATCCCTTCTTATTTACTTTCCCTAGCACTTCCCTAGTTCCGAATTCCAAATGAACCGTAGAGCACTTTTGGATTTTCAAATGTGTAACTGACCTTTCAAAAGCTGTTCGTTCATTTTTGTGTGGATGAGAAAGTAGTTACCAAACTTTCTCAAAGTCATTTGGCAAACAGTCTGTTTATCGAAAGAAATTTTGTTAGTTTCGAAAAAGTTATGTAAATAGGTGTATACAGTATTCTTCTGTCCCATTTTACTGGTCTTACTTTCCTTTTTGGGTTGTCCGAAAATACGTGTCATATTTTCTTTTTTGGAAAGAAATATGTGGTTGACATCATTTCACTTTATCATACTCAAATCTTAACCACAACTTTTACTTTTTCAACCACTTTATTAATAATTGTGCCAAACCAAAAAAAGACGCATGAAATGGGACAGAGGTAGTACATTGTTAGAAAAATAAGGCATATTCTTTTTGCCTGTTTGATAGTTTCAAGTATGGAAAATAACTCAAAGTGGTCCATCAAAAGTAAAAGTTACTTTCAGATAATTGTGACAAACTGACCTTTACAAAATTTCAGTAAGCACTTTAAAAAATCAAAGGAACTGTTTGAAATCCAAAAGTATTTCGACATCCCAAAAGTGGAATCGAAACACATAATTAGTCTACTGGGAACGTTCAAGGTCCAAAGGGTTTTTTGGTGCATTATTTTCTGTACCTGTACGCAAATTTTGATGGGCCTAGTGCCGCTGCATTACTACCAACTTGGGCACTGGGAATTGAAGGCATTAAAGCAGGTTGAACAGGACCTTTACTTTGGTTGCTCTGAAAAATGAAAAAAAGAAAATAAATTATTTCCCAGTAAACAAGCAAAATGAGCAACTCAACAACCAGTATTATACAACTTCGGATCTGCATTTGGCATTTCATCTAACCGGAAACTGAAAATGCCATAACCCACCTGCGGGAACTGCGCGAATGCATCAATAGGAAATTTCATTGTTGAGCCAGTAAATAACTCATGGACTTCTCTTTTCTTTGCTACGGGAGGAGATCCAAAACCAGAGGTTCCAATGGCACCAGTTATAACAACATTTGCCCGCTGAAGATATGCCAAGCTGTTGGGATTCTCTCCACGGAAGAGTGCCTGCCTCTCTTCACTCCCTTCAACATTTTTGCAGTGCATGCATTTGCAATTTTCTGAACAAAGAATGTTGGCTTGGAAACATTCACAATACTTTTTAAGGCACCCTGATTTCTTGCAACGGCATCCTTTATTATGCTTTGCCAAGACCAAACAATCCCCAGCTTCCTCCTAAAATATATACACCACAAAGTATAATCAGATAGAAAAACTTATATTCCACAAAGAGGTTGAAATTTACAAATTAATTACCAATTCATTTCATTTGGGCTGTGCTTACCTTAATGTCCCGAACTCCATTAGGACTGCTAGCAATTTTAGGTCTGAATGCTTTTAAATTGCGATCCAAAGTAGCTTCAACAGCTTCTCGTCTGGCAGCTTCATTTTCAACATTGTTGTGACAATTTTCGCAGTTACACCCATCACAATATATGCCAGACGCAAAGCATTCACAGTATCTAGACATAAAATATCAGAATCAGAGCATTAAGATATATTTCATATAAGATATTTTTTTTTTTAATTTTTTAACACAGATTCCATGGATCAACTGTTATCAAAATGAGGACAAAAGGTTGGTACAATGGAACATAGTGTTCATGTTTTTAGAATAGCACATATAATTGTGTACTTTATCAACAAGATTAGAAATAAAGCTCCAATGTGGTGAAGTTACCTTAGTTCTTAGTGTGCAGAATATGCATATAAGCAACACATATAAAGCACACTGCATATCTTTCCATGGTGATTTTCCAATATGCCATAGCCGATACTTAATAGTTTAAACAGAACCACTGTATGGTTTTGTTAAACCAAAGCCCACTGCCCTCTTTGGCAACAAAAAAAATGTACAACTTAAGTATGTTGCAAATACCAATTACTTCACAAACAGCAACGTAAATTTGTTCAATAATCAGTAATCACCATAGTTGCCATGACGTATACTAAGTGTCGACTAGGCAAGGCTTAGGCGTCCAGGCGGTGGATAGCACTTGTCATGGATGGCCGCCTCGCTTGAAGAGCGCCGAACATGGAATGGCATTGCTTAGACGTCAACTAGGCATTCATAGGACACCCATTCTGGTTTCTTCCCGTATCTATTTTGACCAAGCAATCCAATTCACCAAGTTTTAATTTTCTTTCTTACTTTTCTTCTTTTTATCTTCCCTTTTCTTCACTTTCATTAGTTTGTTAAGCTTTGTAAACTTTTATGATTTTTACTTCATCTCTTTACATGTCAATCACAATTATTACATCACTATTTTTTGCTAAGACTTTGTAGCTTTATGTAAACAATTGCCCTAAATAAGAAACTAGGAGTAAAAACATGGTGACTTGCCTAAATAGAACTACTACGTTTTCCCCTAAATATGAATAAGTACGGCTATCCTGAAACGATTCTGTTAATGTCAATATCATAGTTGTCAATGGTGCACGCACATTATAAAGCGCCATTGGCAACTTGAAAAGGGCCTTCACCACATAAATGTTTCGTGTAAGCCAGAATACATGTGGTGGCACCATAGTGTAGAAAGGCGCTTACATGGCAGGTTTTGAGGTGCACCTCAAGGTGAGGCGTACATAGAAGGTATCAAACTTAGGTTTTTTGGCAGCACAAGAGGCTTAGGCATTTAAAAAATCAAGTCGTACGCCTTGAGGTACTTTTTCGAAGTGATGTTCCTTTGTTTATACCTTTTTAATGTGGTTGTAACTTAAAAAAGGCCCAATGTATTTTATTTAATTTAAGAAAAGGCCCATACATTAAACATGTCTCCACACTAAACCACTAAAGGGTAACGAATAAAGGGGAACTGCACTTCCAGTAAAGGAGTGTGATAATTGATAATGATGACATGTTTTGGATGACTTGAAACTTATTTTAGATATTAAGTTATTCTGGGGACTACTTTAAGCTATTTTAACTTGACATATTTTGGAAAGAATGCGGTTCTTCAACTCTTGCTCATTTTTTGGTTGAAATATAGATTCATATTATCTATAGTTCATATTTTTAGTACTTACTTTAACTCTTGCACATTTTGCGTCTTCAAATGCGTCATCGCCATCACTACGGAAAAATTCCTTTGCGACATACACCATGACAACTATTGTCATAATACGGAAATATGAAATTACATTTAACTTAGAAGAAACATAGAACTGCTATTTAGGGAAAACACCTTGTTTATACTCCTGTTTTGGGAAATTTCCCTTTAATGTATAAAAAAGTCATTTAACTCCTTTATTGAGTTTTAAAATGATCAATTAGTAATTCATGCAACATATTTCATATTATACCTATATAATATATATTCATCAATTGAGATTGCATGGGGTTGCAACCCAAAATACATGACGTAAAACAAAACACAGGCGGGGTGGAGGGGAATGAGAATATATCTTCAAATACACAAATTTTACCAGAAAGGGTATATCATTCCCTATCTAGCAATTTTTTTATAGGTTCATATTGGTGATACTGATGGCTGCAATAATTATAGTGATAGTTAATTTAGTAAAAAATGAAATTTGAATAAACAATCATTTAAACTACAGGTTGGTGAGTTTGTCTGCATTTTGTGCAAGTCATTCTCCCTCCTAGGATGTTTGTCTTATGAGCAAATATCGTGTAAATTAACACTTCAAACAGGCAAAAAGAATATGCCTTATGCAGTTATACTTTCTATACCCTAACTGTAATTAGCTCCATTTGTCATCTTTATACATCAAAACCTCTAAAGTCACGTTTGTTAAGCACGGATTGAAAATAAGCTTACAATTTCAAACACCGAGAGTGTTTGCAGTTGCATTGCTTTTTCCTCTTTGGAGTTCCATCCTTTGTTTCGCCAGTACTTTGCCTATGCCTAACTCTCGGGGATTCTGGTTTCCTGAAAGATATAAAAAATGGTATCATAATGGACATATATGGTTAGTTACTTACTCTAGATATCGTGAATCACAGAAGCTAAGCTACAAAGGAATGCTTACTAACTCAAACAAATGTAGAATTGTCACTTGTAGCATATCAACCTGTACATTTTTTCCCAACTAATTTGACAATTAGATAATTAAAAATAATAATCCTGTCCTTTTATATTAGAAACTTCAATACAAAAGCGTGTATAGCTTGCATTTCTCTCCCTTTCTTACATGAGTGCCTAAGTTCTCCTTTACATGCTAAAGTATTGATGGAGATATAATAGATGTAGAAAAGAAGTATCAAAGGGGGAGAGAGACATAGACCGCCTAACCTACTGTGGAAGTAGTCTCATACGGAGGAGATACTCTTTTATCATGTTAATTACTGCCGAGGGATAGTTAATTGCTCTGGTGAGGTTATTTGTGAGATGTCAATATTTGATATAGTTTGGTGATAGTGGAACATTATAATTAAGATTGGGAGCTTCTAACAATAAAGTCCAAATAAGTATGGGAGGTAATATAGGTATATATAGGGTAAAGTCAAATGTACACAATGTAACAAGGAAAAAACTTATAAACTTGTTTGCCTTATTTGACCACTGGAAATATCACTTAGTACATCTGGTAAGAAACTGACTAGACTCCTCTAGCAAGTTGCAGTGCAAAACTGCCAACTGCTCTATTAAAAGCTTACAACGTCAAATATGTTTTGGTGGTCAAATGACAACAACCCATTCCCTCCGTAACCTAAAGCGAATACCTGCTATTCTCAAAAGCTTTACTAATTTGTTTGAACCATATATAATCACTACTCTTAGGACCTGTTTGTTGTTCCGTTTCTGCTTTTCTGAAAACTAAAAACAGGATTGTTGAAACCAAAATTTTGGTTTCCTTTTCTGGTTGGCAGATCCCTATGGGCCCTTAATTACTGGTTGACATTTATCCAACTTTCAAGTGAAAATGTGCGTGTGAAGAGAAAAACCCTTCAGTCAAAGAAAGGACTAGCTGGATTTGACTAGCAAAATTCACGAAGTGATTGTCATTTTTGCGACAAGAATGAAAACATTACTTAATAAACCCTGGACTTTATCCAACGCTGGAGTATCTCTAAGACTAGATTTGATACAAGACTCCAAGACTCGTTTTTTTCCCAGCCAAATTTGTTCAACAAAATAGCAGATCACACCATTGAATTATAGGGACTTACAGAGGCCGTACTGAAGGATTAGCATATGGCGATGAAGGCTGCTGCATAGGCACCGAAAAAAATTGTTGCAGTGACTGTAAATGTGGCGGCAATTGTGATTGTGGAGGCTGGCCTTGCTTCACAGTCAACAGGGTATGCGGAACTATCGGCTGAGAATGCTCCGGAAAAATGGCCACCGATACAGTCCTACATACCCCTCCATCGCCGTCACCAGACGGCGCGAAATCCAGCTGCCTCGCGAGCTTCTTCGTCGGTAAATCAGCTTCCGCAGGTAGCGTTGCTGCAGCCGCCGTCAAAGGCGCCTCCAATTGAGCCTTTTTTGGAGGGAAATCCCCTTTCTCACTTTTCTCCATTCAAAGCCGCGGCGAATGTAAATGAACGATCTTTTTAAAAGAAAAATCCAACCAACAGAGTTCCCTGAATCCTCCACACTTGAAAGTTGGACTCAATAGAAGTATAGAACTCAACAATTTCAAATTCCAAATGATAGATGAATAAATGGAATATACAAATCTGGTTTCAAAAGCTCGCTCATTGCGAAGCAAAGATTCAAAGGAATAAAACCCAGAGTATAAACATAATCCCTTCTTGAAGAAGAAGAGGAAGAAGCTGGAATTCTTGTCCCACCTCTCTCCCTCTCTACTTTTGAATTTCAATTTTATACTAAGTCCTTAATACTATCGTATTTGATAATGTGATTGGAATGATAATCCGATCCGACGACCACTGGAATTTGGAGGGCTAATCCAATGGATGACGACGTCGCGGGTTCTTTAAAGAATGCATTTTGACCGACTTTTTGCGTATTATTCGATTTCCCCATTCCTGATTTGTAGTGGAGTTTTATTATTATTATTAGGATGATTACTATGACTACTGACTAGGAGTATATTTTTAGGTTTTTTCTCAAATATTACTCATAAAAAGTTATGTAGTATAATCACAAAATAATAATTTTGTCTTTAACATATAAAGAGTTATATTAATGGATTTTTCATATTTTTATTCCTTCCAAAAATTATACGGAGTATTCCTTTTATCCTTGTGATTTGTTTAGGGTAATTTTTATTGTTTTTAGTCATCCTGGCGGCCTCTCTTTCCAATGAAATAGACTTGATTATGTAAGTTTTTGTCTTTGTGTGTTAAGTTGTTCTGAAAAATACTTCAAGAAATATAAGTATGAAGTATTTTTATATAAATTATCCCGAGTAAATAGACACTAAAAGCAAATTAAACAACAAATGCCTAAAAATTGCCAAGACCTAAATTAAAATTATTGTATTTATAGAGAATTAAAACGTATATTCAAACATATTTTTATGTCATTTTTGATGATTTTTTAAAATTTATTATTATAGTCACTATGAGATAATATCAAAACAACAACAAAATAAATATTCGTTATTCGCTTACATGCTGGGTTGTTGTAATAGTGAGCAATAGTCGTTCAAATTTTAAATTGATTGTTTTTTAACTTCTGGTCTTATTATATGTCATCCATAATAAAAAAATTAGAAAAGTTTGATTTATATAATTGGAAAGTACATATTATTCTTAATTTATGGAAGAATACATACTTTGCTCACTATTACAATTATCACTCGTCAATCAATAATAATACCATTTTCACACCTATATAATAATACCATATTATAATTTGTAATACCATTTTCACGTGAAACCATTTTCACACCTATTACAATTATCACACCTATATAGTAATACCATATTATAATTTGTAAAAAAATGTTTGAATTATAATTTATATTCGTACGAATTATAAATAATACTCCGTATCAACTATCACTCATCAATCAATAATAATACATACTTTGAAAATGTCACTTATTTGATATTTTAATATTAGTTTTTGGTAAATTGATTGAATAAATTTTTGGTGAAATTTTTTTGGAAGTATTTAAATAGTTGGTATTATTACAAATTATTTTTAAAGTACGTATTATTCTTACTTTATGGAAGATAGTTTGTATTATTTAAAGTTATTTTCCCTATTTATGTGTAGTTCCACTAAATATACGTGTTGGGATATTGACCTAGGGGCCCAATACCCAGATCGGGAAGGCTCAAGATATCCGGCCCAAGTAACAGGCCCATCACTCTATGATGAAAAGATCCAGTAAGGAGACATACCGAACGGAGTTCGGCCCAAATAAAGATTGGCCCAGTAAGAAGACATACCGAACGAGGTTCGGGCTATATATCATACTTGGGCCAATTTGACAGCATCTTCAGTGCAGCCCAACATCCCGTTCGAGCAACGGCCAACCAGCAAGTGGCCAGGTGCAATTAATGCCAGACTATGACATCAGCAAGTGGAAGCATGGATGACCAAGTCGGTGGAACAACGGCCAATCAGCAAGAGGCAGCCCATGCTCTTCATTATTATAAATAGAAGGTTTCAAGTCATTGTAAGGGTTAACATTTCAATACTCAAGCTCTAGAATAGCATCATTTGCTCTTATTTCTTGTATTAAAGCATAGTTTCCGACTTACCGATCGGGAAATCCCTTGTAATCAGATTGGTTAATTAATACAAGTGGGCTTTCGAGTTTTAGTTAGTTCATATCTTATATTTTCTTATACACTTTGATTCTGGGCCATTCCTGATATATCCAAAGTTCGTGTTGGGCTTTCGGATCTGCGGGACTTACCCTCAACATTGGCGCCGTCTGTGGGAAACTTGCAAAAAGTTTCACTTTCTAAACATCCAAAAAACCTCTATTTTTCAAAAATGGTCAGAATCAATTCCTATCATACAAACGACGGTTCACACCGTCACGGGAGGAGTCACACCCCGGGGAGTCAAAACCCCCAGGGACAATCCAGTCGAGGATCGTATCCTCGTTTTAATGGGGATTTTGTGATTCCCGAATCTCTGAGAAGAAATCCCCAGGCCATGCGTGACATGGCCCAATTCATGCAGCACATGGCGAACGAAGAGGAAGGAGGTTCCGGCTTTACAGGAGAAACTCCACGCGCGGAAACGACCACAGCATCATCCCGCTCACATACTCATCAGGATAATCGACGTAGCGCCCCACCAGCAGCGCATCCCAGTCCCAGTGACCGAACCCCGGTCGGGTCGCAAGCTAGAGGACCCACTCCCGCCGGTCATCATTTCCAGTATGCCGAACGGGAAAATACTAGGGCCCCTCAGCGGCATTGGGACCGGGACTGTACGGATATGAGGGTTCCACCGCCGCCCCATTTGACGGCCCAGGAGGAAGAGATGGCCGAGATGAGGAGGCAAATGAATGAAATGCGGGACCAGATGAACAGAGTACCTGTACAACCTGCGCCAGTTCAGTTGGGAATTACTTCCCCGTTTTCTAGGGAGCTCATGTACGCGGATATCCAAGGGGGTGCCAAGCCCCCGACCGGCCAAATTTACGATGGGGTGGGAGATCCCCACGTACATCTGAGGAGTTACCAAGGGGGACTTATGCTGCTAGGAGCACCCGAGGCCGCCATTTGCCGTTTGTTTTTCAGCACGCTCAGGGGGCCTGCCCAGGAATGGTTCGGGACACTACAGCCCGGGTCAATCAATAGCTTTGCCGAGTTATCAGCGTTATTCTTGGCTCAATTTGCTTCCAGTGCCAATCCCAAACGGCACTTCAGCTATTTGACCAGCGTAAAGCAAAACGCCAAGGAGACCCTCAACCAATTCCTGAAAAGGTGGAGGGATGAAACTTTAACAGTGGGAAGCATGACGGATGATAGCGCCATTACCCTGTTCACGAATGCTCTCCGAACGGGGGAGTTGTACAAAGAATTGAAGAAGAATCCGGGTACGGCGTACGCCGAGGTGTTAGATAGGGCTCGCAAGCATGCCGCCCTAGAAGAAGAGATAATGATCAGGGATAAGGTCATTACGCCTGCTGCCCCGATCAGACTGGCCGATCGGCTGGGTCCTAGCCCAGCGGCCACTTTACCTCCCAAACAAGGGAGATTTACACCCCTGGTCCTATCAATAGCGACCATCTATCAGAACGAGAGGGACAATATTCCCATCCCGACTGATTCTGGACAGTTCATGGGAACAGATGACAATGCTTTCTGTAAATATCACAACATAAAGGGTCATGCCACCAATGCCTGCAGGGCCCTGCAAACAGCAATTGAGGATCTGATCCGAAGGGGCCATCTGGGCAAATATGTGAACAAAGATCCGAATGCAATGGGCACGTTAAAACCGGCCAGGAAACCTAATAGCTGGCGTCGGGATGCTCAACGTGACGCCCAGCCTCAAAATGATGTGTATGTTCCTCCCAGGGATGAGCCAGAGGGCTCGGGAGGCCCCGGAAAGAAGCCTCGAATGGAGGTCAAGGTCATATTTGGGGGCGGGGAGACCGGAGATTCGAACGCCGAACGGAAAAGGTTCGAGCGAAGTCTTTATGTGGGATCCGTCTCCGCTCCCCCCCAGAAGAAAGGAAGGACAGACCCGATCACGTTCGGGCCAGCTGATCTACCCAACTCTCCAAGCCCCCACAGGGATGAACTGGTGGTAAGCATGTGTATTGACAATGCTTTAATCCGCCGGGTGCTGGTCGATACTGGGAGCAGTGTGAATGTATTGTATCTACAATCATTCGAGAAAATGGGTCTACAAAGGAGCCAACTGACCCACCTGCGGACTCCACTGGCGAGTTTTACCGGTAACTGCATCGAGGCGGAAGGGACCATCCAATTAATGGTTGAAATTGGGGATGAAACCCACAGAGCGTCACTCCGAATGACGTTCGTGGTGGTAGACATAAAGTGCGCCCATAATGCCATATTGGGCCGACCGGGATTGGAAGATCTGGAGGCAATAGCCTCTGTCCGCCACTCATGCATCAAATTCCCTACAGACACTGGGGTAGGGGTGGTCAGAACTGACCCAACGACAGCCCGGACGTGTTATCGGGAGGCCCTAAAACAGATGAACACTCGTGGGATGCGGGTGAATACAATTGAGGTGGAAACCCACCGAACGGAGTTCGAGGCACACCCGGAGCCCGCCACCCTTCTTGAACAAATCGACCTCGACTTCCCCCCGAACCGTAAGGTTGCTATCGGGGTAGATCTGGAGGCTGATATCCGGGATGGCGTGATTGCCGTCCTCAAAAAGTTTCAGGTGCTGTTTGCCCGGGGGCCAGAAGATATGCCCGGCATTGATCCAGAAATAATATGTCACAAACTTGCCGTTCGGTCTGATGCGAAACCGGTCCAACAGAAGAAACGGTATCAAGCAACCGAACGGGGGGAATTCACAAAGAAGGAAGTGGCCACTTTGCTAAGGATAAAGCACATCCGTCCGGTAATCCACGTAGAATGGCTATCCAATGTGGTTCTTGCCCCAAAACAATCTACATGGAGAATGTGCGTGGATTACTCTGATCTGAATAAAGCATGCCCCATGGATCCCTACCCAGTGCCGAGGATCGATCTGCTAGTGGATGAGACTGCCGGGTGTGAGTTACTGAGCTTCATGGATGCTTTCCGGGGTTATCATCAGATATTCATGCACCCGGCCGATGCAGAGAAAACGGCGTTCGTTACTTCGGATGGCGTGTTTTGCTACATCGTCATGCCATTCGGATTAAAGAACGCGATGGCAACCTTCCAGAGGATGATCGGGATGCTGTTCAAAGATGTGCTGGGTGTCACAATGGAAGCCTACGTTGATGACATCCTGATCAAGAGCAAAAAGAAGGAAAACCATGTCCTGGA